GATTAGGGGCTGATACTAAGTATTTTCTGGCTATTTAAACTTTTTTGGTTACTTTCTTCAGCACTAGACATCCATATATAGAAGGTTAAGATCCTCCTTTCTGTACCATATATAAGAAACAGGGATTTTGTCAGAATTTCCACTATGAAAACATCACAAAATAATTATTCACATGCTACAGCTAAAGCATAAAAAATGAAAATGGACAGATGAAGTACATAGAAGACCATTGGCAAAGCTTACATTGTTATTGTGTGGAAATACATGTTGATAAGTCTTTATAAATTCTACAAATTTTGTAGGATCAAGTAGTAGACTGAAATGGTCGAATTCTGGATTGTATTACTTATTATTGCCCAATATCCATCTCCTCCTCCCCACTCGTGGTAAACTAATCTGTATTCAACAATATTCTGCTATCATGTTTCTAGAACCTTTGTATCTATGTATGTATGCAAAGCTAAGACTCAGCATCTCTGTTACTTTTTATATAGCTGAAGAGAGAAGTAAAAATATCCTTTCATTTTTGCTAGTGTTCTTAGCTCTTTAATGTTGCTCAGTTAAAACTATGACTTGTTTATTTTTGCTGATCATTAGTACCGAGGCATATTAACAATTTATTTCTTAGCTAAATAAGAGGTGCACATTCTGAAGTCAGGTGCAAATTTTTAATTTTAATTTGAATGAGTTTAAAATTTTACTCAAATGTTAATAGATTTATTATCTTCACAAATGAAAAATCAGAAAAAAATATTCCTGACATAACTGTTGCAAGAGTTTTGAGTCCTTTGAAGACATTAATCGTCTTTGGAACAACACTTTTTTGAAGCATATGAGCAGGTTTAAACCGAAATACTCTGAATCATTCTCTGATTGTACCGAATTGGCAGTGTTGATAGCTTACTTCCTGTCAGAATCTTCCATACAACATTACATCTGCTATAGCAGTCAAAATCTTTTCTGATGAGTTGAAGCAGTGCAATAATATTTTCCACTTTAATCCATTCTCTTTAATCCATTAAGGAAAAATAAACCAGGACACATTTATTAAAGCTACATTTTATTACATTCCTGAGATCTTTTTGGTCACTTTCTGATTGCCACAAAGTCTATGGAGTCATTCTGTTGGAATCAGGAAAGAGAGTATACAAGGTGAGATTAAGGCCTGAGAGCATATTCCTGGGTCCATCTTTGTAAGAGGAATTAGAATAACTGTAGTGGAGTTGTGGCAACCTTTTGGTGGCAAGAATTACCCTCATGGATGGATTCACATATATGGGTGGTGAAGAGATGTGGGGAAAAGATTGAAGTGATCCCCCAAAATGCTTCTCCCATGTAATGTCATTTATATATCAACACATTTGGTGAACACTTAAAATAATGGCAAAACTAGTGAAAATGAGTTTGCCTTTTTATAAATCCATCAAACTTTGCAAAGATGAGAAACATAGATAATTATGTGACTGGTTCTGCATAGTGACTAAGAAATCCTATTTTTAATTCTAGCTGGTTTGCTAATTTCAACTTTTCCTGTCTACAATATTGCTTGCCATAGCAACCATTCATCCAAATTACTGTGGTAAGCTTTTTGTGGATATGTCCTGCCATTGTCCACTTAGCATGCAGATGGAAGACTAATGCTATAGTACACCTATTTCTACAATGTGCATTGGTTGCTTATTTGTTTTTATACTATTGTCCTCATCTTTGTTATCTTTTTCCACTTATGCATGCTGTTCTTTCTCTGTTACAAAGTTTAAGGAGGCTTGTGGTACAAACTGGAATATTGGAGTAATTTGAAATTTTATTGCAGAACTCTTCTACTAAGGGTTCCCCATTAAAAATAATTATGGCAAACGGCTCCCAAATAAGCTAGATTTTTCACATATGCTAGTTTACCCAGGTGGGGAATTTTAGGTCTTATACAAAATATTCCTTCCTTTAACGCAGCTTTTAATTCCATTAATTTTTAAATTAATGCTTTTATGTTTGTATTCTGTTGATATAAATCGGTATGCTATCATTAGATAAAAAGTGGTATAGAAAAATAGTGCTAGTAATTTAGGCACCAATGTTATATCTTTCTCATTTTATATTATTTCTCATGGTTTAAAATAAAATCTTGTATTATTATTTTTAAACAATACAACACAGAAAAAGGCAGTACGCTTCATGTCTAAAGTTTTGATTTTTGACTTCAAATTTTAATCATTTTTAAATCTTAATATTGTGATGGCCATGCAACAGTTTTCAAGTAATATTGTATCTGGAAACTTTCCAGTGCTTGCATCCTACTGGGTCCTTGTAATTTTGACTTTTAAGGTAGAAAATTGAAGATTGATCTGACAGCTTTTTCTAGTTAATTGTTTCAGGTGGATTCTCTTTCTGATTCAGTAATGAATGCCATTTATTACAGGATGATGTGATGATGCCACAGAGAATAAGGCTGCAACGGGAAGCTAATATTAAGTATCCAAGGAGTGTGAGTATTTTCATTTGCAATGACTTTTAACATAAAGGCTTGGAAATCTCTGTGATAACATTGACCATATTGGAATGTAGTTGTTAGTGACATAAGTCCCTATTGCCATTGTCAAACAAGAAGTACTTTTAGTATTAGTGTACTAGTTGTACCTGGTAAATACATGGCTGAGTTCAGGTTTGAAGTACGCTATATAGTAAAATTAACTGGAACGTTATCCTACAGTGAACTGGATGCAGAAAAAGAAATTATGATTTAAGATTGTTATAGATTATAATAGAACAACATGTGATAACTAATAAGTTTTACTACAGCTTACCATATATAGTATAACTGAGGTTTCTAGTGGATTACCTAAATAACTGGTGGGCTGATGACATTCAACCTGCTAAATTACAGAGTTTGTAATTATAAAATCCTTTAGTTAAAGTAGAACACTTATCAGAGTTGCAGATAAAAAAAATCCAATAATGAATTTAGATGAAATTATAACCATTTTAGTTTGGGTAGATTTTATTCTGTATGTGTATGCATTCTTTTATTTTATTCTGTATGTGTATGCATTCTTTTATTTT